TAATTTTTCTTGACTATTCCAAGCAAATAAGACTTGGGGATTTTCCTTGATTTAATATCTTTGCTGAAAGTGAGATGCAGCTAAATTTCACATGGACTACGTTATGAAAAAGGCTACTTCAAACCTGCAAAAAGAAACATGTAATTTTAAGCATGAAGTATGGAAGATCTACTCATTTTTAATTAATTTTCACATCTTCAAGAATTTGCAAGTAGGTATGAATGGCTACACAGATTTTAACTACTGTGCCTGAGGTTAAATAAGTCGGTAATACTCTGACAAAAATCATTACTTGTATACTAGAAAAGGAATTCTGTGCAGTCTTGCTAAATTTTAATGCATCTATACTCATTAATTATTTTAAAGATGTATTTAACTTATTCATGGTGTACATAAACAGTTTAAATATCTTTTCTCTACAGTGGAAAAATGACATATTTATCATACTTATTTGCCAATATAAGAACGTTGTTTATATTCCTCTGTAACCAATCTCTCAAAGCAGGCAAAGAGATCTATTTTTTCTAGTCTAATTTGATTTATGACTGAACACCTACACAGAACTTTAAATACTGCTCACAAAATGCTTTGAAAACATAAGCAATCCTCTTCAACACTTTCTTGAGCAGGTAAATATACTATGTCATTTTTTCAGAACTGAGCAAAATAACATCATTCACATTCATTTCCAGTGGTGTAAACCTAGAAAGATTTCAAAGGAATTACTTTGCTACATAAAAAAACCAGGTATCTAAAGCATGACTTAGCCCAACAGGGTTTATAATTTTCAGGAATGCTGTCTAATTGTGCTTATTTGGGTGTTGGATGCAGTTCACTTGGCTGCAGTGAGGAGGAATCACTCTTAAATTATTGGGCTGACCTAACTAAAATTGAACAGTGTTAAATCACAACTTACCCAAAAACAAATTCTTCCTTTGGCTTAGTCTTTTTCAGCTTTTTGTTCCCACTTGTCCCACTTGGGGAAAAGGCCCAGATTTCTTCATTCCAGCATCCTTCATGATCTGAGGAGTTGCCTTTTCCTGAGCTTCTTTTTCCTGTGATGAAGGCAGAAAATTGTTTCTCATCTTTAAAAAAATGTGCCAAAACAAAGTGGGCTCAGAGGAGACTTGTGTACCCATTCAGTACTGCAGCTTATGATGCTTGACCTTCTTGAAGGCAGTTACAAAACATTTTTTATTTTAAATTGTGCAGTGATGATATTGGCAACTATTCGGCGTCCCCTGTCCCTACCCTTCCCCACCCTGCCTCTAAAGCCAGGATCTCTTGAGGTATAAAGGAGGAGAAAGAGTTGAGAAGAGGTAATAAACTTCCCTAAATTACAAACATCTTTTTTCTTGTCTGACTGTTCTAATTGCATATATAAATCTACTAGTCACAAAAATACATTTCAAGACATCTCACTGAAAGCTTCCAGAAATTATCTCAAATTTATCTTTCCAAAAGGTAAAGGCTTCTCGCTCACTGCCTACAGCAAAACTAGCAACCACAGCAGAATAACAACACATTTGCTTCTTGTAGGATTGAGAACTATGAACACAACCATAGGAGTTGTTTATACAGAAACAAGGTAATTGTCCAGGTTACACACATCACAAGCCCTGCATACATCTATCAGCAGGCTGACAAATTAACCAACAAAGCCTTCAGAAGCTGAATCTCAGGTCATGAAAGACAAAAAGGGAGAGAGGTTAAGAGTCTGTAAGTAGGAACAGAGATGGTAAGACTTCAAAAGACCTGCCCTGGATCATGGAATACAGCCCCTCCACCCGTCCCCAGCATCTCAGGTGACCAGACACAACTCCCATCACACATCGCTAAAATTCCAGCTTAAACATAAACTTTCATTTTTCCTCCCGCTCCAGGCAGGCTTTTGCAATTCATGCTGTAAAACACTCAAAGTCACCCACCTCTGTCCACATTAGCGCGCAGAGATGTGAGCATGCCCTCTGACACCAGAGTTTTATAAAGAGCACCTTTGCAAGATCTCTCTGACTTCCTGGAGCCACAGGTTTCTATCTTTTTAACACAGTCACTGTCCTCAGTTTTGACCTGTTCTGGTAAGCTTTGGGGTACCACCTCCTCCGTTGGGGTCAGTGGTTCCATTTTAATGTTATCAGAAGCCTCACATGGTACCTCCTTGCTGGCTGCAATACTAAGGAAATCGGGAGGCTTTGATTCTTTGGTGGTCTCCATCGGTTTCTCCTTTGATGTTTTCTTCTCTTTCGATTTCACTTTTTTCTTTGGTGATTTTGTATCCAACATGCTTCCCTTCACACTTGAGACAGGGCGGTTTTTTTTGCGGGGAGTATCCGTGAGTCTCTCAGCTCCCCAGTCCCCCTTCGCAACAGCTTCAATTGTGTACATCACACTTTCAATGTCCGACTCGGAGGACTGCCTTTTTTTACAAGATTTCTTGGGGGTGGATTTTTCATTCATGTGCCGGTCCAACTTATATTTTTTCTTTTTCTTCTTTATTTTTTCCGGCTTTAGCCCAAGGATATTCATGTCACCCAGGAAAAGTTCGGGAGAACAGCACATGTGATCCTTTCTATTATCCTTTCTGTCAAAAGGACTGTTTTCCATTGCAAGACTAGTAAAATCTCTGCATTTTGCAGTTTCTGATTCCTCAGTTTTTGTTTCATCCCGGTTTTTAATTTTCTCTATCTCTGATTGTTCTACTTTTCCTTTACAGGAGTCTTTTACTGTTGTTTTCTCCAGTTCTACTTCCATTTCCTCTGAAACTTCCCCTCCCAGATCTTCCAGTGCTTCCACTTTTGTTTTCCCAGGTTCCTTCACATTTACTCCTTCTGAAGCAAGGCACATCTAAAACAAGTGAAAAACAGGCCCCATGAAACAAAACATCAACTGTTAACATTACTTATATTAACAGGAGCATTAAACAGGGAACCCCCCTGGCATTTTAGTTCAGGAAAGCAAACTGAAAAAGGACAGTACTGAAAAATATGCTGAAGCCCTATTGACACTGATGCAATGTGATGATGGCTGAGTGCTAGAATAAGGATGGTGGGTTCTACTGCTCTAACAGAAAGAGACTCCAACTAATCTCAGTGTTTCCACAATCCATTAAGGGTCTTTTACATAATCTGGAAACCCACTCCCAGACTGCTTTTCAGAATACCCTAAGTGCAACAGCACAGTAGAATTATGTCTGACTATTGCCAGAGACAAGTTACTTGAAATCTCACATCCACTCCCCCTTCAACTCTCAAATGTCTCTAATACAATTCCTTCCTCCATTTTCCAAGTGGCCCTGAGGGAGGGAGGGGAAAAAAGTTAATTGAATCTCAATAATCAAGATTATTTTCTTTTACTTGAACGTGTGAAGTAATTTTGGAGGTAGTACAAATGCCTTCCTTTCTTCTCATATCACAGACTTATTTTGCAAAGAACTGCAAAGCAGCAGTGGTTGCCATGGTTATCTTCTCCTGGATTTCTACTAATGGAAACCAAAATCCTCATACTGTCTGAGGAACACTGATATTCAAGAAAAGAGCTATAAAAAGGTCCTCAAGCTGCCATGTTTCTGCAGCACTGACTTGGGAGACCCTCTCTGTTTTGGATCACGTGTAAGCTATGCTGACATCGCTATAGACGGTAGTCCTTCACAGCACCAACCACTTTGCCCTTGGGAAGACAAGTCTTCTTGTTCCTCTCCCCTCTCAGAGCCCTCAAGCTGAATTCCCAGCGCTATTTTGTTTTTGAAGCAGATGTCAACTAGTCACCTGGAGCAAAACCAGATGGAAGAGGCTTTCTTTGAACTAAACATCAGAAGTTTCCCGCAGATGAGCCCACAGGCCATGTGGTCAGTATGGAGGTACCTCCCCCGGATCACTGGGCTCTCTTTAGGTCAATTTTAGATTTTAGACTTCTCCTTGCAAAGCAAAAAAATCACCTACACCAACCAATATATACATATGAGCATAACAGTGATAAAATTTTGCAGTAAGTTTCCAAAACTCTTGCTGCACAGGGTAGAAATTAATGATCTGGTTCAGGTCAGCCTGGGCTGAGCATTGCAAAACACCAGAGCTTGGGCAGCACACAGTGTCTGTTAGGAAGCAGGTTCAATTATGCAAAGGAGAACCCACAACTATGCTGATATGGGTTCTTGGTACCAAGGTGCTTCTGTGACTTTTTTACTACACTGCAATATAAGCAGAGCCAGTGATTTCCAAAATCTGAAGATCAATCTTAAAAATGCAGCTCACTGGACTAATAATATTTTGTCAATTCAACATAGACATTTGCTTCTTCTGCAGTAGTCAGTAGTACAAAGCTATGGATGTGGCTGCAAAAAGATGACTTCTGTTTTGTGAGCAGTAAATAAACTTGTAATTAAACAGTCTTTAAGATTTGAAAAGCTTAAAAAAAAAGTTTAGAAACAAAAGACATGCAAAATTTCAATAAAATGCCACTGGTTTGAACTGCTCCCAGAAGGAAGATCTGCTGAGAGTATCATAGCAGAGTTTCTGTAGAAGTTGTTAATTCCCTGCTTGAAAAAAACAGTGGGCACAAAAAGCAAAAGTAAATGAGAACAGCTTATGACCCTTAATAGGAATTTGTAATGGCAATGCCCTAATTTGAATAACAGAGTAATCCAGCCCTCTGTCTCAACTATCTGTGACCTTCAGCCAAATAAAGCAGTCAAAACCCAAACCCTAAACCAAGAAACTGAACCAAATTCAATGGTGATTGGAAAGTCCCTTTGCCACCAGGAAGTCATGGTATTGGTCAGCTGCAGCAGACTCTTAGAAACTCTATGTTGATGGCTAGTCTGGGGAAAATTTGACTCGTGGCACCCTAGCCATGATAACTTATGCTTCTATAAGCACCAGTGTAATTATAAGTGTAGCACTGTTCTGCCTTCCAGACTTCAGCAATCAACAGCATTAACTTCTCCATCCCACTGCACCTGCAGTAATTAGTCACCAGTGTTTCAGTATTACCTCTGCCAGCTGAAATAATGCTGATGTTCCACACTGTTTTGTTAAATCAGAAGGCCCTGAATGGGATGTACTTGAAGAAATCTATGGAAAAAAAAAGCAACATAAATAAAGCATTCTTCTACCAGCACAATTCTTTTACATCTACAACCCAGCTTTTGAACGGATTGCCCCTCCCTCTTCCCAAAATTCATTCATAAGATTACATACTGAAAAAGAAGTGCAGACCTCTGCATGCTGTTATAAATAAAACCCTGCTCCACCACTGCTCTGGTGGATAATACCACTGTACACTAAAAGGTATTTGCAGATTTGGGGTTATTCTAGTCAGGATGCCCTTTGAAGAGAAGGATGAACTGAAGCACATGCTCTCTCACACATAAAGAGACTCCAGCAGCTAAGCACCAATTTACACCAGCATGCAACCCAGCAGGTGGTGTTTCTGAAAGGCTCATTTGATTGTAAAATCATTTCACTATCACAGGTTAAGAAGGCTACTCCTTTCAGACAATGGCATTGCCTGTTGCTGTCCTACAGGACTCATATAAAAGAGATCCCATGACACCAAAATGAAGAGCCCTCAAGTCTTTGGTAACTTCTAGTACTCCTCAGAGTAAAAGGAGGCTGTCATGCAAACAGGTAGCTGATTATCCTCCAGAATCTTTTTCCTGTCTTAGGCTGCGTACTTTAGAGTGTTTTGTATCAGTTTTGAGCTAGGTGCAAAGAAAAGATCTTTTTCTAATCAAATTAAAATTATCAGTCTCAGGATTGGCCATTAGTATGAACAGAACATTCTATCTTTAAGGACATACTCCATCATCTCTGATCAGGCTTGCAGGTTTCTTACACTTGCTTCCTTAGAAAGTGTAAGACAGTGAAGTTAGAAGGGACTGGAGAACTATAGCATTTACACCCTTTCAGCTCTCCCTATCCTCCAAACTCAGTATTCCTTGTTCTGAACCAGCATGGGCCCACAAAGTCATCTTTGCTGAATTCAGCCCATCATTGCCATAATACAAGTAAACAAAACCAAATGCTATCTCTGCATCTCCTGGAAACTGCAACTCTTCACAGCATCTCCCAAGCTCTGACCAGTACAGTCCAAGTCTTCAGATGTTGCTTACAGCCAAGTGATGTTAGCATTCCGCAGAAGAAGTGGCCTCCCTGCCTTGTGAAGGTGATGCTCAACCTCACCACTGACTCCCTTCACTCTCGTGCCTCCACACTAAAGGCTAAAGGCAGAGCAAGCATTTAGGCACAGCAAGAGACTGCAGAGCTGATCAGCAACAGCCTCCTAGGCTTCAGACTGCAGAGTGGAAACCTAGAAATCCTCAAGATTTTTTAGGAACTAACCTAACCCACTTCTGCATTTTATTTTAATCACCATCTGTGAAATACTGAGAAATACCAAAAAGGAAGGCACAAAGAAGAGGGGAAAAAAAAGAAAATCAAATTGGTTAATACACGCAGCGGAGAGATAAAGGAGGAGCAGAGCAGTATGGTGTGGTGAAGAAGACAGGCTCCCACACACCATGCATTTGCCATGCCAGCAGCATGGAGAGAGCAGTACAGTCCCCTCCAGTGCACAGCACCTGCAGTTTGGAGTTACAGTGGCACAGCACAGCTGTCTGCCAAATCAACTTGCAAACCTAAGACACCCTCGGGGTGATAGAGAACACGGTTTGTTTGGGATGCTCCAAACCAAGTCCTGAACTGCTACCTGAAAATTTAAACTGAATGTCTCTTATTTATCCAATTATAATCCAACATTACAGATCTCCAAAACTGGGGGGAGGGGGAAGGAAAAAAATAAAAAAATCAATAGCACTCATGGAGCTAGAGACAAGGAAGATGTGCTTAGCACATCTGCCATGCTTTTCTCTGTTTGAATCAGAGCCTTTAACATTCATTTTGTGTATTAAATTAGGCTTGCAGGAATCCATCTGAGGAATCACTCAGAGATCACACAGACCTGTCCAACATACACACGTCATGCTGCCAGACTTAGCGTCACTTTTTCTGCCACCCGCAGTACAAACTGTGCACTCCTGTGGACAACCACCTGTCCCTCCCCTAAATCAGGGCTTCACAGTCACATCACAACTTCTAATGCTGACTTCCAAAAATCAGGCTGCACTCAACAAAAGCCTTACTCCAGAACAGCACTACTCATAGCCTGCTGCTGTCCTGTAAGAGGATACCTCAAAAACCTCTGGTGTCCCTGACTAAATATTATCTGCCCTTCTGTTGTCCCAGGGCTCCACCAGCCAAATACCCTTATGGATCACTGATCACAGTTAGGTGTAGTCACCCTTGCACAGGCACTGCTGACAACATAGCACATACTCACAAACTCTACTACTGCCAGGGACTGCCTGCACGGTAAGGCTGGTTTTCTTCCACTCATTTGAGTTCCTATAAAGTCAGATAACTGCATCACTATCCACAGAACAAAGCATGAAATACTTTTATTTCACTGCTTCTAATCTCTGCCTTTTTTTTTCCTGAGAGGGACTGACCTCAGCAACAAGAATTTATGGCTGGATGTCACTAGACAGGATTCAGAAAACCACTTTCCTCACTGAAATAGGATGTGGTTTTGGAATTAAAAAAAAACCCTCAAACAACAGAAAACAAGCAAAAAGAAAAAAAAAAGTGTATACAAATAATTTGCTTCCATATTCCTTTATTTACCTGGAATACAGCATGTATCTTCATCTTTCAATCATCATGAAGAACAGCATTTGCACATCAAGCCTCAAAGGTTTTTGAGTGAATCATCCATGTCAAAGAGGACACCTCTGCAAGGTTATATTTAAGACTCACAGAGAACTTCTAGGACTTCTGGGAAACCTGACCCAGCATTCTTGATTACCACTGACAGCTGCCAATTTCAGAACTTAATATATTGCATCAACTTCCAACTCTTCATACAGATTTCTGATGACCTCAAAGTCTACTTTTCTTTTCCTACTCTCAGTCTCAGATTAAGCAACGCACCTTCCAACCCTTACAACCAAAGCTTTACTCTTTTAATCGTGGTATCCAACTCCTCATTAAAAAGAATGCTTCTATCTCTTGTCTTTGCTATTGTCCTGTGCACTGTTTTTACTACAGTTATAAAGCTAATTTTTCCAAAAGGAAGTGTAACCTTTTCTGTGATGTCTCCAAGAAACTATGGACTTTGTACATAAAGGTGTACAAAAAAAACCCCTCTAGGTCCCTTGGGCCGTTGCCACTGCCTAATTCTCCTGCTATTTCGTTATTTACTAATCTATGTTTCTGGAAATACCAAATTTGATTCTAAAGCAAACCTTACACGTAGCTTTTTTGGGGAAAAGATACACACATCTTCCCATAGTGATGCTACTGGGTATCACTTTACCTCTGCCAACTGGAAGAGTGCCGACTTCCCACAGTGCTTTACTGGCTCGGGACTTGGCAACTGGGAAGTATTTGATGAGATCTAGGTTACAAATGAACAGAAGAGAAAATATTTCAGTGGCACACAGGAAAGACAGAAAGGAAGGGAGAAAAAGAATGAAAAATTAAGGGGTTAGTAAATCAGTCACTTTTACATCCTTGTGGCAAAAGGCCCTACACTTTAGATAGACGATCCCATCCAAGAAACACTTAGAAGGTATTTAGGAGACAGTGCAATACAAGCAAAACCAGCATTTCTTCCTTAGATTAGGCTCAAGGATACTCAATCTATGTTTGTAGTGTCCACAGCTAATATTCTATCATGCTGTGAGTTTTATGTGACTAAGTGAACAAGATATAGCTGCTGCTTAAAAACATGAACTGTGGTGGTCAAGGGTAAATAAAATTCTCCTGGAAAGTCTGGGCAGTATTTCCCATTTAGTCAGACACAGAAGAGGACCATCTATCCTCACAGGGACTGCTTGTTTCGCTTTCTTTAGTTAGAAAAAGGAAATAAGACCTTATGTCTGGAGATCAAATCTAGCCTTCCAAATAGCTGTCGGTATACCACGACCAGCCCTGAGTAAATTAACTACTGCTGCACTTCAGGGAATTGCTTTTACAGCCAGATTTCTTCAGACATGCTTCCAATTGCAGTATTATGAGTTCACCACTGCAAAAATTAATCATTATTTATCAGTTTTGACCTTTTATTTTAGCATGGCGTTATATGGTAGTATTTGACCTGGAAGCCTTGAGCCAAGATCACCAGTGTGTCCATGGGATCTGTCTCATCCCAAAAATCACACTTAGGATTGTGACTGGGCAGATAGTGGCAGGACAAGGGGCAATGGTTTTGAACAGGAACAGGACAGTTGATGTTAGGAAGAAATTAATTTCTCAGAGTGTGGTGAGGCACTGGAACAAGTTGCCCAAAGGGGTCATGGATGCCCCATGCCTGTAAGTATTCAGGGCCAGGTTGGATGGGGCCCTGAGCAATGTGGTCTACGGGAAGGTGTCCCTACCCATGGCAAGGAGAGGAATGAGATGGGCTTTAAGGACCCTTCCACCATGAACCATTCTACGGTTCTATGATCTCTGAGATGCAAAAATTATCAGCTTTCTCCTTATATTTAATTCTTTCTTTTGAACTAGATTATTTGAAAAATTTACCTTTCAATTGTCAGAGATTTATTACACTCCCCACCTACCCCTCTGCCCAGAATCCAGGACATCCATTTCACTTCAAGCTATTTAAAATACAGTGAATAATGCCCAAGTGTGCACTAATAATAATTTTTAATATTAAACTAAAATAATTCAACATTCTAGTTTTGCTTTGAGACTATTCAGTGAACCTGCTCAGGTCCCCACTGGACCTTAGTGATCTTGTACCTGCACTTTGCAGGAAGAAGGTCTCAAATTTTTAATCTTTCTACCATAATACATTCTCACCTCTTAATGATTTTTTCAGCACAATATGAATGGCAGAAAAGGGACAGAAAAACACCCACACACTGAAGGATAGCCTGAGAAAACACAGGCACATCTTGCCTCCTGATGCACAAAGTGAGGACAGAGCAAACAAATTTTGACAATAGGTGTTCCTATCAAAATGTGAGATCCTTGTAGTACTAAGAGAAAGAGAGGAAGCCAAAAATTCACTTCAGTACAAAAAAAAAGTAAATTTCAGAGTTAAGAAAACAAACTGCAAGTGACAAACGCGTAACTCATTCTGCTGAAGTTGCTGGCCATACATCAGAAGGAAGAGGATGGATGATCAATCAGCTCTCAGTGAGACACTGATCCCACTCCCTGTCTTAACATTTTTCAGCTTTAATTAGAATAACCAAAACTTGCAGTACTACAACCACAAATAGCCCCTTGTTATGTAGAAGTTTAAGATGGGGGATCATTAGAATCAAGGTACTATCTTCTATTACAATGTAAGTTTCATTTTAGCTACTGTATTATATTTTAGTTTGCATAAGAAGCATGTGTCATGGCACTGCTTTTTCATTTCCCTCCTAGAGCAGGCACTGCACTTCAACACAAACATTTAATAATTTCAGCATATGGGCAAGCAGCAAATACATTTGTCTTTATCTGGGAAGATTACAGCTTTCCCTATGGGAAAGCTGGAAAAGAAAACAAACACTGGTTAGTTCTTACAATCACCATTTCGAGGCATTTTGACCTAAAGTTTTGGATTCAAATCTTCTGTTTAGCACAGAAATAAACAGAAAGGACTGCCTGCAAGCCTTCTCAAAGTGAGTATGTGAGAATGCAGAAGGGACAAAATCATCTCCAAGCATGCATTTTTTCTTAAATGATAAATAACCTGCTGGACCAACAAAAACAAATCCACCCTGTTGCGTACTGCATGTGATTTATTTATTTATTTATTTTAATTAAATCACCTAGGAAAAAAACTTAAGAAAAGCTGCTGAAAGCAAAGAGTTTTGGGGGTTTGGATTCATTTTGTTTTTAAGATGGCTGAACTAGCAATTTTTCTGCTTCCACTCCTGGAAGCCTTTTCTTTGTTTAATAACAGATGAGAGTTTAGCCAAGTAAATCCAAGACGCACTCTTGTTTCCTCTCAACGAAGCAATCGTCACCATCTGTTCACGTTTGCCAAACACACATACAGTAAGACCAAGAGTGCAAGGGGTCCCATCTGCTCTGCTTCCCTCACATGGCAAGGAGGATGACAGCGACCAGCCCATGTGCGCAGGCAGCTTGCAAACACCACGCTAAGGAACACAGCTCACTGCTCAGCAATCCCTGGCCCATATAATGGCTTTCCATAAAGGTACAAATGAGAAGGACAGTAGTAGGGCCAAGTATTTGCAAGATCAGAGGAGCACGAGAAAGCTGAAAGTGTAACTTGGCAACATTCCAAACTTTAAAAAAAAAACTCTTATGAGGATGTCACATCACCTTTGAAGACCTCCAAGGCACTTGCCTGCACACCCGCAAGACCCAGCAAAGTCTTGCTCCCAGGATTTTCATCCTCTGTTGTGGCAAGTCACTGGGCAGGACTCATTAGCCATATCCTGAACAGCTTTAATTGACAACTATAGTACTTGGGACAGACAACCAAATGAAAGTCTAACTAAGGCTGTAAAGACAAAAAGAATCCCACCTACTCTACATAAATCGAGTTGGTTTTGAGTGACAGGGGACTTGTACTCTGGGGGTAAAGGTGTCCATTTTAAATGACAAATCTACTCAATGGGATCACTGTCTTCACAAAGAGGCACTCTTACTCACCCATCTGCAAAGGCGGTGAAGAGAAAGGGAACATATGAGGAACACCCAGCCAGAACCAAAACTGAGCTGGGATGGCTGCCAGAAGTCTCTAGGCACATCAGACCACAGCACACTCCACATTTCTTCACAGGTCTACTTGGCTAGGGGTTAAATAACTACTTTCTCTCCCTCTCTTTTTTCTTTTGTAGCACTGCACATTGCTGACAGCAGCCCTCTGCAAATTGCTTGCATTCAGCTTACTAAATGGAGTAACACATTCATATAGCCAGGACCCAGTAAGAAGCGGAACAGTAAGGAACAGGGACTTTTGCCAAACTTGACAAAGACAGCCTGTGCAAATGAAAGTCCTTATATTTGATCGAGCACAAGCAGCTTTAATAGTGGGGGAGAAAGCTTAAAGAGGTTCTGTAATATGCTCAATACCTTCCTCTGGAACAACCTAAATGAAATCAGGCTGCAAGCTTAGAAAAATGCCATTTCTCTACTGCTATAGATAAAACATCATGTTCATCACTGCCATTAAGGTTTTACAGGAGGAATAACCATGGCCAACAATGTAGGGTTTTTTGTTCTCTTTTCTTTCCCAGATTTTTGTCCCTTATTTCTAGCCACAGAACAAATCAAACTCCTCCAGAGTACACACACAATTAAATACTTTTACAAGAAAAAGAGACAGACTTGTAAAACTGTCCTCAGCAAATTCTAATGAACTTTCTAAGCACCCCTTCTACCTAATATTTAAGGATTCATACATGCACTCCAATATGCAAAATGAGCTGGCTCAGCGTGGTGGCATTCAACTCAAAGCACTGCCACATCGGTATGACAATTTTCAGGTTTGTTATTTTGTTGTTTGTTCAATTAGAGATTTTAGGTTCTGTGAAATTCTGGAAGTATGGCTAAGCCATATTTTACATGACAATTTAGAATGTTAGAATACATATCCTGTTCAACTCTGCAGATATCCAAAATTGGTGTTTAATTAAAATGTAAGATGGCCAATATTTTTTAAACTAAGTTACCAGATTCACTTGTGCAATATTTTGCAATAAAATTCAAAAGAAATGTTCTCCAGCATATGTCTTTTAACTTGGTTTAAAAGGCTGGCTTCAGCACATATCTTCACTCTGCTCAATTCCACTGATTTTCTCAAAAGATTCCAAATTAACTTGTAACTTTCTAAAAAAAGGTGATACATATGAAAACACCTTCATGATTAGAGATACTAACTCTACTGTATCTTTCACAGTGGTGTTTGTAGTCAGGTATTTTATGGCACCTGAATGAGTAAACTGTTTATTTCTTCATCGGGCTTCCTAAGAAAAACACCAAGGCCCATTCTAGCTAAGCTAAAAACACTCAGTGCACATTAGCTTAACATTTCACTGAAAGAAGCATGTTGTATGTAGTCAAACCTCTGTAAACACATAGAATAACAAACAGGGTATCTTTTAATCCCATTATGCTCCTCCACTATAGCACCAGCTCCAGTTCCAGACTTTTCAGAGACACAATGAATATACCTGTACCATAATTGATTTTGCAAGAAGTACAAGACTCCCCCAAATGGGCAAGAAGAGTATATGTGTGGAAACTCAATTCACATAGAAACATTCAATACATGGACAAAGAAATTCTTAAAAGCAATGTTTAATGAACTCCAAATCTTCAATATGAGGAAGAAGGTGGATAGGTTATATACTTATGGGTAATTTATAGGTTTGATAAGTCACCACTTAATGATGCTGTTAAATATCCTTGTGGCTGTTGTGATAAGCTTTCTCTGACCTGCAAGGATTCTTCAAATGATCCTGCCTCTAGGGCAGTTGCTATTTTGCACTGCTGCAGCCTCTTCCACAAGCAGTGCTTAATGTAATTTCAGAATGTCTTTTAATTGTTGTTTACCTAGATGTAAATTAAAAGGCCATTTGGAAAACATGTCTGCAGTGATCCTTTGGTATGGAAAGCTAAGTAATGTTCACAAGCCCAGTATCTCTCATCTGTACCTACAGCTGGTACAAATGGCCAACATCTTGTCCGTTCTGCCCAGGATTTTCTTAACACAATGGTGAAGAAGATGAACATCTACTGATGAGAATCCCTTGTAAGACAGGGTGCTCAGCCGTTCAGTGACTACTCTTACCAGTTCCTTGTTTCCTCCCATCCTCCCCCCACCGTATTCAGCCACTATACCTCAGCAAACTGAAACAATGCAGACTCCTCCGTTTGTTTTACTGCCCCCGGGACTCCAGGCTGTGATGTGTTTGAAGAGATCTGTCGGGAAAACAATTATGCTTGTATTACCTAACTCTTCAGTTTCAGTATCAAACTTCAACATGTTAAATTTCTGATCCATCATACATGAAGGCTCCTGGTACCCAAGAGCATGCAAACGAGCCCCAGCACACCCATACAACAATCTGCTTTCCAGGAGGCAGGTAAATGGGTGATCTGTGATATGGTAATCTTAAATTATTTTTCACAAGGAAAACCTTTCCTAGGATCAACAAAACAGGTTTTTTTTTAAGGGCTTTTATTTGCTGGCTGATATGCTAAAGGAGGGTTAGCAAAAAAACTACACTGTATTGTATTTCACAGCTCAGAGAAAGACCTGAGACTGCAGAACGGTGGTGATGACAGAGCACAGATTCCTACTTTGCACAGAAGGTAAGTGTGGACAAGGACACAATGTATGCAGGTATTTTGAGATACCAGATCTATCCCAGACACTAAGGTAACTGCATTTCATGCTGCTTAACTTTCGCCAATTAGTTTTATTGCAAATGACACCTCTGATTAATGTTATGCCTTGGTACAAGTACTAATTATTTTGCCATTGACACACATACCCTCAATGCACTGGTTAAGTGCGCTCTCACTAAAGGCTGTTTAACATCCTCGAAAAGTAAGACTAGCTAATATGCATTCCTAATTCCTGATCATCAGTAAGGTACTTCTAAACCACATGTTTTAGCGGTGCAGTTGAGCTTGTTTCCTGGCACCCACTGAAATTTTTCTTCAATGGGTAAAGAAAAGCCAGTGGTCACAAAGCCCTCAGCAAGAGCTTATCTGGCAGTACACAATTCTTGCCTACTACCACATGGATCTGGCACTTCCCTGCTTCAGCACTGTAAAATGAACTGAAACAATTAGGCAAGCTGGTATTTGTCTCACTCTTTAAAAGATTCAGCAGTGAAATTCAAGAAATAGACCATTATCAAGAAGAACTATACCATGTATGACATCGCTCTACTGACAGTGTAAGTGTACAGAAGCATCTCAGAAATACTGGAAGATGGATGTTGAGTCATTATCACAGAAGTGTCATAAGTGACACTGGAATTAACCAATTCTAAGAAGCTTTTAAATATTGCTTTTTACTGCTGGCACACCAGGTCTTTCCTCTTCTTAACAAGAAATGCCAGCAGGCTGTTTAAGAGCCTAATTACAGGTTATTTACTGAACTCTGGCCATTACCTTTAATCAGTAATAAAGGATCAGTGCTTCAATTTATTTCTAATAAATTTTGAAAACCTTGGATCTTAAATTGGAACTCAAGGTCTTGTGCATTAATGTTAAAACAATCAAAATTATCATATTTTCTGGGTGCTAGGATAGCAATGTGTCTGGTCTGTAAGTGATGACATTTAGGGAGGAATATGAAGGTGCATGTGTCAATGAGCATTAAAGATAAGGGAGTCAGATTCACAGCTGGTGTGGATACAGATAATAAAAAGAAGCGCTGGATACAAAAGATTTCTTTCTGTATGCAGGTAAACACCACCCAGTGTCCTATACAATCAATATTTATGCAGCTAAATACTTCTATGTCACTTGATTATGACTATTTCAAAAGCTGGAACAATACAAACAAGTGATGCTTGCAGTTGGTCAGGATTCCTTGCAGTCTTATTTTTGTTGTGTCATTTATATCAGTGAAACCCCTAACACTTGCTTGAAGCAGTGTACACTTTTAAAGAAAAAAAAAAAAAACAAAAACACAAGACCACCACACCACAGTTGCACTTCTGGCAATAAGTGGAATATGTTGACAAAAATATTATACATTGCAAAGTTAAAGCATAGTTGCATAGAGCTATTTGGTGGCTATAGAAGAAAATATTGGAAACTCCAGAACTACAGAAGCTGATGACTAAAGCTGCCACAGTAGATTAGAAACATAATGTAACATCTAAATACACATCTTGAAACTTTAGTTAATGAGGTTCTAGTTTAAAACTAAGTGCAGGAATGACATATCTCTAAATTACAGTTTAGACCACAGCTCCATTATTGCACGAGGGTTTCCACCATTCTCCTAAACACACTTTCCTGCACTTAAGTCTGACCTACCTATCTGATAAATGACTCACTAGCATAAACCCAAAAAGAAGAAACAAATAAAGGCACAAATTTCATTTAAAGAATTTTGATTTTTCTTTCAGCTGAATATCAGTTGCTTCTTAGAAGGAAACACTTGGGAAGAAAACCCTTTTTAAAGAAACTCACCTCTGCAAACTGGAACAACGATGACTTCTGACAGGCTTCTGTAGAATTAGTTGCATCAGACTGGCAGGTACTGGAGGAAACCTGAAACAAGGGGTGTGCACAATAAGACCTCAAAGGTGTTTCTTTCAAGCTAAGAACAACAGTTAGTGAAATAAAATAGAGCATTTAAGAGAAGACAGACAAGCTAATGTTTCACATTCCCGGAAAGATTAAATAATATTTACCGATGAAAAGATAGTTTAGCATCCATTTTAATGCATTTGAAAATCATCTAAGAAGAACGACTACAAAAAATACCTTTTTTTCTTTTATAATTCTGAACTTGTCAGAATAGTTCTATTGAACAGAATCCTAAACGGATTACACTGGGCTACACACACAGCTATCTTGTAGTGGTGATGCTATCAACACTGCTGTATCTGTAGTCTGTACTATCATTCTGAATAAGAAGATTACCTAGATGGTAAAAAATGTTGTGAAGACATTGAGAGTTGCTAAGTGATGGAAATACTTATTAGAAAAATAATTCCAAATCTTAACAGCATGAAAGTAAGTAGATGAGGGTAGCCCAAGCCTAAAATTGCTAAAATAACATACACTTCAGGGGTGCTTTTGAGAAGCAGTGCAAGAAAGAGTCATAACACCTGAAATCAAAATACCAAAAACTGACTGCTCATAACCAAAAGCCTTATTTGAATTAACACAGAGCTTAGCCATACTATTCTTATTAGCTAGAAGTGGGTTAATCAAGCCTCATTCTGTAAAGGATCTTTATCAAATATGATACATTCAGTAAGTGTCACATTTAAGTGTAAAAGATCTATATATGTAACTCCTAGGAGCACGAGGTACCTTTAGTATAAAACAAGGTGTGTAACATGGCTTTTAAGAAACAGCAGAAAAGGAAGGAGGCTTTGTAAGATTTTAGGAAAAGTAACAGGATGGAAATTTTTTCACTAACAATTTTTAATTTTTCCACAAAAGTTCAGTTTATTTAAAACATTGCAATGCATATGTGGGGTTTTTTTCCTCTTTCTATTACCCAAACAAGTATATCAATAGTTTTTAGTGGTGAATGCAAACAAGCTACCAACTGCACCTTTTGCTGGTAAGCACATAGCACCACAGAAAATGCAGACCTACACAACAAGCTGTTGGCACTGCTGCTGCTGTTCGTCTGAGATGCTTAAGCACCACAATAGCACCAGTGGTATTTTGTTTCAGGAATCTGCAACCCACTCTCCCTTGAAAACACTCAATCTGAGTGTAGCGACCCACAGGCCGAGGGGAGCTACACCAACACAACAATTTGCTTGCTTGTTTCTTCCCTGCCATGAAACCAAGCAGCACCAGTGACTCCTATGGTCTGTATTTCCAATATATTTATCAAAGACTGAGAAAGACGTTTTACCAGTGTACTGTGGAGTCTACTAGCCTGAAGGGTTACAAAGAATGTATCTTTAATGCGTGTCTTTTGCTTTTTCAGTGGTTTGCTTCACTGATGTAATGTTTGTTACTGGTTTTTCTCATGTTTCTGTATGATCTGTTTAAAATGTCTGTGCCTCAGCAGTGGTCTGGACTGTTCTGGGAAAGCATCTTGCTGCTGTTGAGTGACCCATCTCTGCAGGTCTGAGACTCTGCAGTGGTGTGAAATATGTAAGCAACCATTTGGTTATTTTAGGCCACTTCACTGGTGGGATTCCCGCAGGAATAAACAAATCTGGGGTTGGTTCCCAAATAATTTAACTTTTCTGCAGTTCAGCCAGCTGCCTTATGCAGCTTAACTTGCAGTGTCTACTGAAGCAGTTTTTTTCCTAAGTGGAGCCTTTCCAATGCAAAAGGGCAGTACTTTGCTTAGAAAAAGCCATGTGAAAGCTCCTAAGGTGGGCACTGCAGGGCCACAAAGTCCTGAACTCTGCCCAGCCACCCATATGGAGACAATAGCTCTGCAGCTCCCTCTGGCTATCCAGGGCCACGTCCACCAGAACATGTCAGTACATGCCTGAGCTGGCAGCACACAAAAGAGCTCTGGGTTAGGAGCCATTGACCCACAGACCCCAGGAGCACCGTGCTGGAGTGGAGATGCTCTCCAAGGGAGGCTATCCCAGATCAGGCTATCCCAGGGCTGTAAGACATTCCCTCCCTGGGCAGGTGCAGGGACAAGAGGAGCATTCTCGCTGCCCCCTCTCATGCTGGGGGTGGGCACAGGTTGTTCACTCTTCGGTACAGGAACCACTTACTGTGGAATGTGTGAAGCCCTGTTTTCTATAGATTTGTGTGTAAAGGACAGATTGCTGGTGCACAGTAACTCAGAGTAGATTTTATGGTTGGAACCACTGCACTTTTCCTATCACTTCCTCTTATTCTTTAGGAAGGTAATGCTGTTGCCTTTGCTTGACAGAGAACTAATTTGAGCTTGTTTCTTCTACTCTGCTGCTCCGCAAACACTCTTGACTTGTAGGAAACTTATTATCTCCAGGACTTCTAACCTTTGCCAGGCTGAACCTGATCAAAGCATTAAAATAATTACCAGAGGGAACAGATGCACAGATAGTGCCATTTGGTATGTGTCATTTCCCGATGTAATAAAATGTCCTCAGCATGTCATTTCTTCTCCTCTTTCCTTCACCCAGCTTTCCCTCAAGCTGCACTGAGAGATTTTTCACTTCTGATTAACACCTTGCACAGACCTGGCATCACATGCAACATAACCTTTTGTTTAAAAAAGAAGGAAACCACAAGGATAACACCTCTGTGGCCTCCCCTTCCCTCCAGGGTACTGTAACCTGCTCTAAAATGATCACACCAAACAAAGGTGGAGGACAGACCCTAGGGCAGCCCCTGCCTTGCCTGCCACTGCCTGATGTGAGGCTTTAATGCTGTCCCGATGTGCTGAGCAGTGGAAAGCCTGGAAACTGGTAGAAGAGACAGGTTTTGGACTACACGATGAATTTTGGGATTTCTGGGCAGTAACCTATAGAGAGGCCACTAGGTGCTGCTGTAACGCAAGGAAAGGGCCCGACGGACCGTAAGGGAGATGTGCAGAGAGACAAACAGGCAAGCAAGGAGCGCTGCTCACCGTTGCTAATGACCTGCGGAGAGGACCAGGCTCTGCTGACAGAGCAGACCCGTCTTTGCTCAAGCGTTCAACAAAATACACTCATATACACACCACGGTCTTGCAACCCAAAACCTAGGTGGAAACGCCTTGGTTATCCAAATCCTTCGTCTACTGCCCTTAAAGCCTGTAGCTTCTCTTGCTTATCTGCTTAGTAACTCCAGCTGCTGCCTAGAAATCAATCATGGCCAACACTGAGTTCCGTTATTAGAAGAAAATCTCTCTAGTCTATTGAAAAAAATTACAAAAACAGGAACACACCGAGAGATGGTGACTGAAGCCTCAAAACAATTTTGTAAATATCACTGTTGTGCCTCTTCCCATCCTCCTGCTGGCAGGTCACTTTGTTACCTGACATCTGGGCTTCTGAGAACCCCGAGATTAAACACCTGGCTTGAAAAACTCCTGTACGTCCATTTAGCATAATCCTGACGGAACATCAGCAGGTGTTGAAAATGTTTACGTGGGATTAATAGACAAGTGCAGTGTCCCTCACCTTCTCCCAAGTTCTGAGCAAAACTATGCCAGTGCTGTCCTACTCTCCTTTAACAACTTTTAAGATGATAAAAGTATTTAAGATGTATGTTACAAGGCCACCCAAGCCTGCATAATCACACATATGCACAGCAGTCACACTGCATTTTGACAGGCAGACCCCCAGTTTAAGACTCATATATGTGCATGTGTGTCTTACATATATACACAGACTTTAATGATAATGAAACCTATGCGATGTCATTCAGAGCACTCTTTTAAAAATGACAGTGTCCGTCCTTTTATTTTTTAATATAAATGCCATATTTATATTAATATTTTTATATATATTATAAATATATATATTTAAATATAAATAAATACATGTACAACATGTATTTAAATACTTACGTGCATATAAAAACAAAATATATACTCTCCATAGTTAACCAACTTCTGAACCTCTGCACTAACAATACCTCAGCAGTCACCTTAATACACCAAATTCTCTGCCATGTTGATACCAACTCTAATGCAACACAGCTGACCCCTCTCCACCGAAGAGCAAAGCAGCCTATCAACTCCACAATGAATTCTTGAGTTTCTTTCTGAGCCTCTCATATCACCTCCTGGCATGTTCTGCTAACCTCCCAAACACTGGTTGGAGTGTAAAACCATAAACATGGCAATCCAACCATAGATTCTCATAAAGGCATACAAAGATGAACATCTTACACCTCCTCTGTCCATATGCCCGAGAATGGGAAGACAAAAGAGCTGTTCAGTTATTTGAGTTTAAATAGGTTTAGGATCATTACTACATTTCCAAAACACAGGTCTAAGAAATATTTGCTCTGTATCTAATCACCACTGAAACACAAGGAAAAGGAAAATGGAAGACACACCAGGGCAGCCACACAAAAGAAACTGAGAAAGTTTCCCAGAACATGGAAACACAGCTGGAGACTTAATTCCTGCTAACGTGCAGTTAGGAGGACTGAACTTCGTTCATTTGGGTCCCTTTGTGAATATCAATCACCCAGATTGTTCTGAAGGATGTATTTTATAGATAGTGGGCTCTCAAAAAGGATTGGAGATGTGCAGCTTCCTGGGAAAGTTCTCTGTCACTTACCCGCTTCTCAGAGAGGGTAGTACAATTAAGAAAGGATAATTCATTAGTACAGGCTAAATTATGGCCCATCGTGATTTTAAGAACAGCCAACAAGTCCCTCAAGTAGTTTTGTTCAGGCTGTATTTATGACAATTATTTTGCTCCACACTTTCGGGGAAAGCAGATTACACAGCTTGCTTGTTTGATGTGGAGGGCCAGGTTTCAAAAGAAGACTACGGGCCCAGAAGAGCACAGCAGAGTAAAGCTTATACATGAAGTGAATATTACATCACAAGTCATATTCCACACTTCTATCAGAAAAAATGAGGTTTATGTAGGCATATGGGAAACATGTCTTTTGCTCAAAACAAACAAAAAAAAGAGTCCTGATTAAAAAAATATCTATGTACTAAACCAATTGCAAAACATCTTTCTGATTTGTCTCTAAACCTATAGGTAGATTTAGTCCTTCACTGCCATCTGAAATCATATTACTTAAGGCTGTTATGTAAAATGAAGAAAACTCAACTCACAAAGACCTTTCTTAATGGAAGTTAGTATCTGTGACTACAATATACCTTTCCCTTACATTTAAACGTAACGAGGCAGTAAAAACAGTTTTTATGCTCCAAGCTGAGAGATTACAAGTTTGAGAAGTACAGGACAGAATCATTTTAGCACAAAATAAGACATTTCATTTCATTGCTTTGCCGGCTTGACACCAGTGTTTCTGCAGCATGGAAGGCCAGCAGCCACACCTGCACAAAAACCTCCATGGCTCAGACCAGTGTGCAAAGCACTGAGGAGTCTTGGTGGTAGAAGAATAACTATCTCAAACGCACTGCACATTTTGCATTTGGGGGTATCACATATAAATTAAGTTAATTATTGCTTTGCCTCCCAATATCAACAACAACAACAAAAAAGAAACCTTCTTCACTTCCACTGCTCTTTCCAGGCTAGAGATTTATGGCAGTGACTACCTATTTTACCCAACATACAAGCTTTTTTTTGGACCATTTCCAAAGCTGGCCTCAAAAATAGATCATAAATAACCAGTATAAAGAAAGACCAGAGGTCTCTGCACTACTGGAGATAGGCAGGCACACTTATTTACTAGACCCCTTTGTAAAAATATAAACAACGTTTGTGATGTCAACTGAACTACAAACTTCTTTTTAGATATAAAGACTTAGTGAATAGGAGTAGACTGCAATACTTTGATTACCTCTTAGCATGTGCATGGTTTCAGAACGCCTATACAATGACATTGACTGTATGGAAGTTATTAGGTGCTTATTTTGCTGTTAGTGCCGAGGTCACAGTTGTGTGAGGCATTACAAAAGCATATAAAATCCCTGCCCAAAAAAGCTTGCAAACCACCTGTTTGTTAACACAGTCACAGTATTTCATGCCTTCCACCTCTGGCAATATTCTTTCATAGGGTAGACTTGACTGGTGTGATCAAATATTCAGTCAGCAGAGCTAATATCGAACTGATACAAAAACTGGACTCAACCTCTACATTCACAGTTGGGATACCGGATTCACACTTCAGTCCCACTTGAGGTTACCTGTGATATGTCCTAAATTTAATTCCCCATTGGTCAAATATTCCTCTTATGAGGTCTCTTTAAACTCAGGGATTGTAGTAAGGGAGAGAAAAGAGGTCCTTACCTCTTGTGCAGTAAGCGCATGTTCCCCTGCTAGAAGCAGCATACTTAGGCCTCCCATTTGTGTAGGATCTGTTAAAAGAGTAAAACCAAGTCTTAAGTTGATTCATTTGCTTGTTTAAAAAACCTACCACTTGCAGCATTAAACCCCCAGAAGACTACTTGTCACAGACACTCTAAGCAAGCTGCCATAAAAGGCAGTTCAAGAGAATCACAAATAACCATTTCTGTACCCTCTGGGAAGGCTTTCAAAGCTGTTTGAAGGATTTAATTGGATTTGTGTGCTTAACACCCCATTGCGTGGATTTACAATTTTGCTGCCAAAGGTTTTATGTACTACAGAGATGAATATCTTTAAAAAAGCAACTGTAATGATCTCATACATAAATATACACAAAGATGCACATGTTTATAACTCAGTGGATGCTCCTACCAAGGGATTGGTTCCTTCTTTAGCCACTGAACAAATTAAAAGATGGAACAAACAACATGATCAAGCTCTGAAGCAAAACTTCTATTTTCATTTATCTTTAATTTAGAGCTGCATTAAGTGGTGAAAAGTGCCAGCCTGACAATTCTGAAGCATGAAGCGCTTGATCCTCTGTGCCAGAATAGCACAGGCACTGGCCAGGCAAGCTGCCTGCCTACTTGTTGCCCTGCCAATACAATATGTAATTGAGGAAAGTAAAATGGAGATATAAATGTTCTTTTTCCAAGTATTTGATACTGACAGCTCCTCGCCTCCAGCCTTCCTGCACTTCAGGAGCACAGAAAATGAAAACAAGTGAAAGCAATAAACACTGGCACTGCATTAGCCATGGAGTGGCTTTTCCTCTCAGAACAGTGGTTGCTCTTCATCACTATGAAGACTAACTGATTTTCTGATTTTCAGGGAACGCCTTGGAAGAAATGCAGGGGCCTGATTTAACAGTGTCATGTAGACAGAGGGAGACTATGGCCCAAATATGTCATACAACAGTCACATCATGAGAGAAAGGGAAGCATCATCCTTGCTGTATTGCTGAAACATCAACTTCAAAACGATTAGACACACCAAAGCTAAGTGACCTTCCCCAGGTTTCACTAAGCATGTTTTCCAATATCCTTTTGCTAAACTGTACAAAAACTCTCTCCTACAACAATAAATTACATGTAGCCAGGGCCATTCCCTGGAATGGAGGCCAAATGGCACACTTACCTTTGTCCACTGAGTTCCATTTCGAGACGCAAAATTTGGATGCAAAATAGCTACAACCAAAATGCCCACTGGGAAATCCCCTGGCCCCTTTGCACTCAGGAGTGGAGCCAAGGAATTTGTTCATCTTTTCACCTGATGTGGGCCAAACTGGTACCTGTAAACCTCCACACAATTTAGTGCTACTGATGATCAAGGTTCAGTTCATGGGAATACTCATTGGTGCTATTTAATTCAATACCACAGACGCTGCCAAAAATTCTCTGGCAGATAGAATCCCACACTGACATTCACAAGGTAAGTTTTTTCACATGGTAAGTTTTCCAGTAATCTCTTAGAAGGGCATTAAATAGAAGCAGAGGAAAACAATGTGAATAAACCAGGCTCATTCACTATTTCAAGGATAGAAGAATGGCTTATCATTAAAATGCATCCTAAATAACATCTGGCTTCATACCAAATATTTAACTAGAATTACTTTTTTCCTTCACCATAAAATACAGGTAGAAGATGTGTGGATTTTTTTCATATTTTTAGGGAGTTTTAATTTTTAAATAAAAAAGGAAAAAAGTCTATTAAGCTTCTATGAAGACACAAGACACTATTGAAAGTGTAGAATCTAGTAACAAGAAGTGGTTGAAGAAATGAAGACAGAAAATGGGAAAGGCCAGCAAGTACCTAAGTACAATTTGTAAGTGAAGTGATCCTGTCAGCACAGCACTTTATGCCATCAAAACAGCTGATCAGAAACCATTCAGTCCTTCAAACCAGAGGACACCAGGGCAATTAAGAAGTGACAAGTGAACATGCATCTTGAAAAATAATGCCTGAGCAGGCAGTTAATTTGGAGGAAGGAGAGATCAGAAGAGATCTCCAGGCCCATCATAAGCTTACTGAACTGCATATTAAACAGTAAGGGCTTGGCTGGTTGCTTTCTACTTTCTTTATTCCCAATGGAAGGCTTTTGCAGAATCCAAATCTTCCAAGCATTAAGGGCTTTCTTCCAGTTTTTAGCTTAAATATACTCAGGGTCAAGCAGTGCACATTTTTTCTGGTGCCTGCATCTTTAAGATTAATAACTGTTCTCCTAAACGGCATCTCCCTTCTGTGCATTTACTGGAGTTTACCTACGCTTCTTCCACTTGCTTTCCTAGTCTAAATAACTCAAGATCTCCTGACGTCATCAATCACATCCATGGTTCCAGCAATCCCTGTAGCTCTCCTCTCCAGTTATCCCAGGTAGAGTTTGTCTTTCTTATACACGGGTGACCAACATCAGATGAGTGGGTTCCTGAAAACACTCTGCCTGACAAACTGTAGTATAGCACTTTCTTATGCCCACGCTGTACTGATGACTCCCAGATGCTCTTTTACACTTCATTTTAGTTATCCATGGGTCCTATTACCCCTCCTCAGTTTTGGCCAACTGGAGAACACTCAGTTCACGGCTGTAAAATTCTTGCCCCTCTTTTAAATATCTTCTTGGTGGTCTTGGCTTTCTGCCTTTCAAATAAGTAGCTTATCATAAGAGGACAAAGATACAGGCATTTTTCCTGAACTAAGTAAATACTTAAACTGTTTATTTAAATATAAAAATTAAGAGGAAGGAAAAAATGATAACTAAGTGGAAAGTGAAAGTTTAATTTGATGCTTAAACAACTTGAACACTTATGCTGCAGCTGTAGCAGAGGGCTGGTGCTTAGATGTCTGATCGTGATAAAAACAAAAATCCTTCCACTAAGGTTTCAATTTACAAAATAACTTCACCTAAGGAAGACAAAATGTACATGTGCAAACACTGCCGTACGTTTATAGTGCCTTCTCAGCACACCAATGTTTCTATTCTGGCACTAAGAACTTATTAGTATGAAGAATTAAGAATTTCAAGGGGTATTCTGGAGTAATTTATAGTTAGATCAACAGTACTGAGAAAACAGCACACACATTTGACTTGCAGAATGGGAGGCGATTCGTGACTTTCTCAACAGCTTTTAATACTGATGAAACTTAAAACCACCTCACTATTTGGGAATGACATATTTTGTTAGTACTGGGCTGGTTAGAGACTCAGCAGGCTGACTTGTTCATCATTGCCATTTTTCAGTCAGAGAAAGAAAGAACTGAGGAAGAACTAAGCAGAAAGAAGGCCAGCAGGTACCACCTCCAGCTAACTTTTACCTGGGTAAAGCATAATTAAGCTTCTTTCCAGAAAAACAAAAATAGCATTTCTATAGGGATACAGCCTACTCTAGGAAGTGTCCTTTTTCCACCCTGTGCCTCACTAAAAACATTTTGGTTCAGACAGTTTTTTTCTGATGCAAAAATGTGAAAAGTACTGGGAATCTTGCACATTTTTATGGCAAAGCTGTTGCAAACAACAGTTGCCTTTGCCCTACACGCTACAACAGATCACAGGTGAGCCATGTCATGAGGAAAGCATGCTCAACACTACAGCTTCCAGGCCAGATGATCAAGGGCACTGATTTGTGGGTCTGCAGGTCAGAAGCCAAATGCTGGTGCCACACCTCAGCTTCTTGACCTAAAGTAGGTGAACAAGAGACTTAAATGTAGGGCGATTATTCCTTTAATGACAAAAAAGTAAGGGAGAGACACAGCTTGTGTGGGACTTAAAAAAAACCAAACAGATCTATATATTTCATTTTCCAAAATTAAATGTAACATGTAAAAACAGTCAAGACAGGATTAGCAACAACCAACAAATAAAATAGATTTCCTGGCATGACTTTGGAATCATACAAACCTTGTCCTAAGAAAGTTATCTGCCTTAAAGATACAAGGCAGTCAGTGGCATTTCAAAGGTAAAAGTGTTCCTGAGGTGGTTCAGCTACATTTCAGTCCATCAGCTACTATACAGCCTGGATTTTAAAAGAGATAGTACTTGATAGAAGAGTTAGAGTTGAATTGAGCTATCATGTGAAGTCAGGAAGAGAAGAGCACAATAAACATACCTAGAATTAATTGGTTTATAGTTAACTAAGCAGTAATCCACTTGGCATGGCACACTTGTCATGACGTGGATGCTGCTAACATCTCTGTCAGAACCTGTCACTATTTTATGAGCTATTGTTATACTCAAGAAATCGCCAGCCTTCATGGGCATGAGGACTGGACCAAGATCCCTATGAATTACCAATGCTCATTGACTCAGTCTGCGGGAAAAAAATAAAAATAAAGACTATCACATGCAGCACAAAAGGGCCTTCTTCAGAAATGAATGGCTCTATAGATAAAACAACGGATTAGATTAGTTTCTAATTAATTCTCAATTTCTCTCTTTGCTTCGACAGGTGTTGCTTCAGAATCTCTGTACTCAAAAACACTACATTAGGATAGCCCAGCAGGAGCAGTAGGGAGTGGATGAGAGGTAGGTCAAGACCTATTACTTGTTCTTTATGTTAAGTTAATAAATCTTTAAGGAGCATAGAAATGATTCCTCTAATAGCAAAAGCAGAATGGGATGAAGGGGCTTGCAAATTTTGGAACTGGTCTCCCACATATCTGAACTACATAGCATGAAAAACTTTATTTTATCACATTTCACAGTTCCTTAACAGCCAGAAGGAATTTCATTATGGAAATTTTCATTATCACTATACTAAGGTATACACGCCTTTTATCCTTACACTTGTTCCATTAAACCATTTTCCACTCTCCAGCTCACAATCTCTCTAAGCAGAAAAGTCCTATCTGCCACACTCTTGTCACAAACTATGTAGGATATGACAAAGTTTCTAATTTTATAAATACTGATGTATCTGAAACTTTAAATGAGGGGAAAAAAAGGAAAAAAGACAGAAAAAAGAATGGTGGGGGAAAAATGTGTTTTCTATCTTGACTGTTAGGTTTTAAGCTGCCAGTATGTAACACTAATGTCTCTGTATTTCAAGGTCATGATTACAACAGTTCTGCTATTTATGGATATCAGTGAGAGATTATCTGGTTTTTACCAGTTCAGGCACTCCTGAACTCCTGAACCACCTACACTTCTTTACATATTTAGGGGCTTTTTTTCAAATGTTTAAAAGATTGGAAATTGCTCCTCCAAGATACAATGGGCAAAAGAACATATTTCAATTCAATTATGCTTCTCTTGATTTAAATACAAAAAAGTTAGCCCCACTGGTACACTGATTCACAAGAATGTTAACATCTCCAACTTCAGAGACACCCATATATTATTTCTGCAAACAGCAAATTACTAAACAGAATACAACATTCTATGACATATAAAAAGAATGAACACAATGAGTGTTTTTCCTTTTGACCAGAGAATGAAAGTCTCTAACAGCAGATAAGCTGGAATCAAAAATCAATCAAACCTGGACTCCAAATGGGGTATGGATTACGATGCCACATATCTGGACTTGACTCTTGAAAGTAATCATACACTAAGGAAAATCTTAGGAAGTTGTTATACAGAGGTTTAACTAGAGTTTTGGTAACTTACTTTGGGACATGAAAGTTATTTGCAGTACAGTACTGTGTGCACTAAAGAAAACTGGTATCACAGTTCTATTCCAACATTGCATCCTCAAACAAAACGAGGATGCTACAGCTGAGTAACGTGGATGGAAATCTCACCTGCCATCGCAAAGTTAAGCTGTGGCATTTCTTCACTTTTGGTTACTTTCCTTGGGCTCGGTAAGTCTTTTGCAGAATCTGATGCAATGGCCCATAACTTTTTCCTGTTTGTAACACTGGATGCCTGGGTTTTCACAGGTTTGTTGGTTGTGGGGCACCACTTGTACCCTGGGTTTGCTTTCATAAATGCATCCTTGTACTAGAAAAGAAAAGGAAAATTACCAGTCGTGACATTATACTATCCACAGGGCAAGAGAACACACTGCACGTATGAGGATTTAATACAGTAAATAATCCTTAAATATATTGATTTTTTAACAGTTTAATCACATGCTTAGAATCTGACCACCAACTCTAAGAAGAATTATTAAGATATGTAGAGTTATAAATAAAAAAGTGAGTTTTCTCTTTCTTCTCCTGAGGGTCCATTTCCCAGAGCAGGCTGAAGTTCTGATCCTCCAAACTGCTCTCCAGTGCCTGTATGCTCATGCTGTGAGATAGAGATATTTGAATTCTTTAGCAGGTACAATCTTCATTTGCTTTCTAGTTTGAATTAAATGAAAACATACATTTAGCAACAAATACAGCATGATATGTCTTACCTTGCTCCCATTCCATTCTTCTCTAACAGTTTTGTATTTTAGAATATTTGAGTATATGCTTTCCCAAACCAGGCACCAAAAATAAGTCACAACCAGTATAATCCCACATTCAGTATCTTGGGACACATCCCCGCAGTGCTTCTTCCAAAATGTACCATGCTGTATGGCTGCATAAAATAAACTGTGACCATTTTAAAACACTCTGGCCTTGAGCACCCAGCACACATCTCAGTTGTTTGCTATGTTCTTGGTATGAGGCAGCAAAACAAAGGAAGCCAGACTACACATGATGGGTGGGGAAAAAGGCTTGGATCCTACACAGTTTAGGGGGGTAGGGGAAAGGACAAGAGCCTATTTTATTCACAAGATGCAACAGCAACATTTTTCGAGTATCTTGCTGACTAGATTAAAATGAGATTTTTGAATGTTAACAGGAATAGAAAGACTGCATTTCAGTATTTTAAATGTGTTGCTATGCAAGGTGGAGAACTGGTGAATCAGAGGAACATGCCACGCATTCCAGCTGCAGATGTTTGCCTAACAACTGATAGGGGTGTTCAGCACTGGCTGCTGGGGAAGCCTACCCTGTAAGTACCAGTGCCCACTGCAGGGAGAAGGAACCCAGTACCTCCTCCGGACTGGGTGGCTCTCAATGGCAGCAAATGACCAGAAGAGCGGTTTCATCCTTGGAAAGTACACGGCAGGGCAGCTGCAGGAAGTTTGTTCTGTGATTACATGTTCCCACCCACACAGCTGTCATCAGTCCCAGTTACAGCACAGAGGAGCACCTATGTTTCAAGCACATATGTGCACAGAAACACAGGCAGAGAGCGAAAAAAATCCCTTGGGCATCAGATACAGAAACAGCACTGAAAACCTTGTCCTCTGATGGAGCCACTACAGTGTTTTCCCAGATCAATAAAGAGTATGCCTTGTGGCAGGATCACCATCGCACGTGCACTGCTTGCTTTCATTTCCATCCTAACCTATGAGCTGGCACTTGCTACCTCCAGACTGTAGCACAGATAAAAACGTTTCAGTTTACAAGAAACACAGCACTGCATGAACCCGCTGTGTGAAGCCCTGTATTTATAGAAATGGCTATAAATAATAAAGATCTGCAGGGATCACTGACCCACATACACACTGTATTTTCTGAATAGGGTGTATGTATTAAATCTGCAAACTAAGGATTGCGACACCTCTCACCTCGCGCCTTTTCCCTTTCCCTCAGTTTGGTCTGGGAGCTCAGTACACCACAAAAATAGCCTGGTGGAGGGAAGAGAAAGGAAGGGGAGGGTAAGGGAAGAGGAGAAAAGGAAATACACGGCGTAGCAGCTTTGCCGTCCATTGTTAAAGCCACAGCCCACTCACAAATCACGTTTCCAGCCTGCGGAGTGAACAGCACAGTTGCTAGCGATGAGGTACATAAGCTCCTCATATCAGCAGTGCTGCTCTGAGTAATTGAATTATTCTATTGAGTAATCTGACAAGCCGACAGGACGCCCATCAAATGAGAACCAGAACGCATGCCATTTGTGAGACGAGGCTGCAATAAGCTTTTAATCAGTTTTCAACAAGAGCAATTCAAGCAAGCTGGTGTATTAATGGATTTTTTTTTTCCTCTGCAAAGCCAAGAAGTGAACATTAACTGCACTCCCTGAAGGGGAAGGGACAAACTAAACTAAGGGAGGAAAATTCATGGGAACTGTTCAGTTTCAACGCTCATGATAAAGGAAAAGAAAATTTAAAAAGTTAAACTGTGGCCAAGAAGGACTTTTATAAAATGCATACAGGGGCCTGGTCCAAATCTCAGAAAGACTTTCGTTATTGATTTTTGTGACTATTAGACCAAGGCTTAAAATGAAGAAATACATTCTGCTTGCCAGGTCATGAGAAGATAACTTAAATGAGCTACACGGTAACAAGAAAATGCCAAAGACAATAGTGCAGTTTACTGTTTTCCTCCCTTTGACCAACTGTGCCGTAAATACTAACTCAATGCAGCCAGCCTAAGCACACCTCTAAAGTCAATTAAAACAAACAAGCCACAACCAAACCAAACTAAACAAACAAAACCCAAACAAAACCACAAAAAAACCCAACCCAAACAGTAAGCACTTAACCTGGAATGCAAAGACACCTCCTTGGTTCCCACACAAGTAGCAGGGACAGACCAGCACCACTGCAGTCCCGAAATTCCAGGTAAGATAAAACCCAGGATATGTTTGTGGAATTGGTCTGATGCATCATTTCTGTTTTGTGAAAGCCTGAGGAATGTTGTGTTATGCAGTGGGATTGGTGCCACTTAAGAGCTGTGGTTAAAAAATGTGTTGTGCTTTAGTGCAACTCCCCGAGTTGCTTTCATCACCAAATAAAAAAAGATTTGCCTTCTCCAGCTGTGGCAGGAACAGGAGTTCACAAGTGGATTCCAGCTACACCTCAGGGTAGCAGTTAGCACGTGCTTAAACTTAAAATGAGCGCTTAAATCCCATCAACTGGCTATTAAATGTCACATGAATCCCAGAGATCTAACACAAAAACCCGAATCCCCAGAAAATAGAACACCCTGTTATTTACTCCTGGAGGACACAGGGTTTGCACTACACACGTGTCACCACGTGCCAGACTCCAGCCAGTAAGCCAGAACATTCGTGCCCTCCCACCCTGAGGCAGCTGCCAAAGCAGTGGCACCTCAAGGCCAGCAAGCTCACAGTCGGGCTGACTGCACCTAAGACACAGCAGGCCGAGGACTCGCAGGGTCAAGTGTTCAGCTCGACCACTGAATGGCAGAAGAAACACAGAATCAACCAGGCTGGGAAAGACACCTGAGATCACTGAGTCCAACCTGTGACCCAACACCACCATGTCAACTACACCATGGCACCAAGAACCACATCCAGTCTTTCCCTAAACACCTTCAGGGATGGTGACTCCACTACCTCCCCGGGCAGCCCATTTCAATGTCTAATCACATTTATCAGGCTGCTCCCTACAGGAAGCAATCCCAACTGCCCAGATCTTGCTGATGGAAAGACATATTTAAAATTGAAGTGTCTTCTAGCGAGGGAACAGGGTTTGAACAATAACAATCTCACTTCCCAAGGTGGCCGAATACTCCTAGTAAGTCCTGTAAGAGTTAACAAATAACACTATTCCTATTACTAAAGTAAATAAAAATGCTGGAGCGTATTTATGAGCGGCCAGATTCATTTCCCATCGGTGAAGAAAAACGCTAACAAGGGAGCAACATTTGTGGTTCCACTTGGAGTATTAATCAAGCTCCTGGGCTTATATCCTAGATCATGAAACTTCTAAAGTTAAGTTGCTCTAGGAGGTCTGCAGGATAGAAACAGAAAGCCTGGTCCTAAAGAAAACACCATCAGAAGCAAACTTAAAGCTCTGCAGGTATAGCATCAGGTCTCCAGAGTAGGTGTTGCTACAAGAGACCATAAATCACAAGACTGAGAAGAGAGGAGGTGTGGAATTAGTTTTTCCAGATAATTAAGGCACTCCAAGGTGCACACAGGTACATAACGAGATTTTCCAAAGTGTCTAAATGAACTATAGACCTGATTAGTCTCTCAGTGAGAGTCAGGGATGCCCAGTCCACTAAGAAACTTCACATAATTCTGATTGGCAAAAAGTTTGGGCGCCTTCCTATCTTCCAAAATGCTAGATCTTGCATATAGCAAGACACACGTAAGTAAATACACAAATGCCTTGACTTGCATACTGCTGAGATAGGATCACTGCTCGTAGTAAGCAGCTAAGAAACTGAAAGCTTCTTGCTTGATGCTTGATCTAACCTACCTGGCTTTGTAAGCTACAGCATCAAGCAGGAACAACGCCCTAGAGACTGCAGAACAGCAGGGGCTGTAGTCACTGCAGTAGGGATCACTTCGGTCATGCCCACCTATACCTCTGATTCAGATGCTCAGGGTACCCAAGACACACTGTGGGAACAGCAGACATGATACAAGGTCCTCTGGGAGACGTGTGTCCTGCCAGTACAATGGATAGAGACTATGCAGCGAAAACTGGAAGTCAAAGAGCACTGAAAACCTATATTTAAGTAAGAGAAGCTCACCTGCCGTATTTTAAACCTCATTGAGCTCATCATATAGGTACCAAAACAGAATATTATTGGTACAGTGGTGATTTTATGATCTTCCAAAGGCATTCACCTTCTTGATTTTTAAATAAGTTCTCCTTAGGAAAAAGAAAAACACTAACAAGGGGGTCTCACTAGACTTAACCTCTTTTTGACAGTCTCAGCAGTAACCCTAAGTACAGGCAAACCTGTGCAACCTGCTCTAGGCGAACCTGCTTGAGCAGCAGGTTAGACTAGATGATATCCAGAGGCCCCTTCCAAGCCCAACTATTCTGTGGTTCTGTCAAAACCAAGTGTTAAAATAAAATGACCAATCCACACATACAGAGTGGGTTTGTTGGTGAAGGGCCAAATATATTCAATAGCACATTACAGCTGCTAATTATTGTTGTAACATACACTGTTTAAAGAATACAAATTATACTCTATCTCTCCTCTACACATTTTTGGAACTACTTATAATGGTGTAAACTACTAAGATTTATTGTTTCCCTTTGATGTTGAATATGTAATTTGTTCTTCATGCCAAAAAAACCCATCACTACAGGAACAATGATTTCTACAACAATATGATTAATAGTTTCAGATCTGTCACTTCATACAGAAGTTCTGCAATTTTCCTTCTTAATGAACGAGTCTCCTTCAGCAAGACAAAAGGCTAAAAAAACCAGCCACAGTGTGTCTGTTTCTTCTAAAAATTATTTCTTAATTTTCATCTTTCTCTGCATCTGTACTGATTCTGCTAACTGCCCTTTCCCCATGCATTTAGAGAAGCATCATTAATTTGTAAGTGTGAATGCAGAACAAAACAGAAATGGTTGGACAAAGCTGAGACTCAAATATTTCAGATCTGTGCCACAGACGGGGAACTACAGAGGTACTACAGACCCTGCTTCAAAAGAAACCTGCCATGCAGAATGCTTTGTTTTTCCTGTGGACCTCTCCCACAAACTACTGAACAGTCAGACCTTATATACATGCATTAACACGAGCACACACCTCCAGGTCACAGGGCAGGTATGGATAATAGTTTTCCCAGTTGTTTCACAGCTATCTGCACTTCCCATAGTGTGCCAGCATTACTTGACAAATGAGAGAGATGTTTTTCCTTCTCACTGGTGCTCCATTATTTTTATTAAGATTGAATTAAAAGGTTATCCACAATCTATAATATCCTACAGGTAATTACAGGGATCTGTTTCGGGGTGATGTTATCAGCCCAAGTAACTTGCTGTGTTTCTCTCAATGTGCTATCAATCACTACAGCCTTCTTGGGGACAGCTTATCAAGAAAGCTATTTCTTAAAAAGTCTCATTTAAATTTTCAGTTGATGTAAAGATACTTGGTGAAATATGGGGATGAATCTCTTTCCCTTGCTCCCAGTTAGGGGACTCTGACTTATGTATTGCTCTCTGATTTGGGTACTGGGCTCACCACAAGCTTGCTCTAGCAGAAACTGGTTAGCAATACATAGGGAACATACTTCATGAAACACTAATAATTTTTTAATTCTTTAGTATCAAAGGTAAAAAGGGACTACATTTTTTGACTGTGCCTTTGGTTCACTTTTATTATAATAAAAGTCCACTTTTATTATAATAACAACCTGTATTACCGGGTATCAAATGAACAGCTTGAGCTAAGTATCACTAGTCAGCTGACACTGAACTGTGTGTTACTGTTTTCAATGGCCGCTATCCACCTGTTAATGCTTGTACTGCAGAAATTATCAGGTGATATCTATCACAAAGTGCATTTGTACCAATGACTACTAGAGACAGATTAGTTTGTGTACACAGACCAATTTCTTTTCATTCTGGTCCCAAGGACCAAGTGAATTAAAGCAAGAACAGTAGCTGCTCTGAGCACCATAACCCCACTCAGGAAGCTAAGGAACTCAAAGAGAAACATCCCATAGAAAACATTTAATACACAGAGAAAAAGAAGATAAATATGTAATAAATACCTTTACATCCACTATTGAGACAGAACATACCTCCTTGGCCATGTCAGTGTATTTCTGTTTTTCTTTTGGATCTAGAACAGACCACCAATCTGCCAAGATCTTGGTTGCGCCACGATTATCGAGGCGAGGGTGTTCTTTTCTCACAAGAGAGCGGTGGCGCTTGCAGAACAAGAGAAATGCATTCATTGGTCGGCGAGCTCGTTGCTCTGAGGACTCGTCATCTTCAGTCTCATCAGCATCCTGCTCTAAACCATCAGGGCCAAGGAGCGGCACCTGGCAGAACCGAAAGGGAAGGGGTATGAACTCAGTTATCCACGTTTCTCGCCAACACTCAGTGCGAATGAGGGAGAAGCACACAGATGCACACAGCTGTCTCCAAAGGCCATCTGTTTCATCCAGGAGATGCAGAGTTCTACATCAGACCTCCTCACCTGATAGTCTAAGGTTGATTCATCCTCTCTGCAAGACTTAAACTCTGACTTCCGTGCAGATTTCTAAGCTGAGGAGCTTTCTCTACTAACAGTTCTAAAGGGGCTGGAGGGAGGAGTTCATTTCTGCGCCCTTCCTACAACCTGGAAATCATCTCAGTGGGATGAGGTAAACAGAGCTACCTTGGACTTCAATTATTTGTGTTTGCAACTGCAGAGTACACAGGGAGGAAAATGCACAGGTAACAGTTTTTTCCCCATCGCCTGCCATTCATTGCTCAGCCTGTGAGCTGTGCAGCACTGCAGCCACTGCACAGCTGCCCAGTCAGAGGGCAAATCTCAACAGAATACCCTGCCAAAACATGGCTCTATCCATTTACAGGCCAGTGCACCATTGCTACGAGGGATACACCACAAAGGACTAGTTCTGACTGAATGAAACAAATTATTGCATGAGACAGAAAACCACCTCCTACCTAACAGCAACACTACTGTTTTATACCACGTTGTGAACGTGACCCATAAGGTCAACAGAAAGCACTGTCAGGGTATCAGGCTCCTCCTTATCCTTATCAAGCTCACTCTCCCACACGGCTCATGGCTCAAGGCAGTCTCCTCAGCACTGACCTCTTCATTCCTGCCTTAGGAAGGCATCAAGGAGATTAAGTTATGAATGCTACCCACGTGATGGAAACATCACATCTCCATAACCAACTCCCACTTCTTGTTACAGAGGGCAATTTTAACAGCAGATCTGTGAGGTGCCACATGGCATGGGGGGGGTCCTTATGAAAACAGGATAAGGTCAGTGTCATCGAACAATACCAAAGTACCAAGTGTCAAACGGGAGACAGATTATTTCAGCTGTGCACTCAATACTCTAGAGGATAAGCTGAATTTCACATGCAAAGATACTAAAAATCATTGACAGCTTCTTCCTTCTTTTTGCCCTTAAATCTTTGTCTTTTTCTAATCTTTAAAAAAAAAGAGCAAAAACTATTAGTTTGTTACAGCCTCAGAGTCACTAGAAGCAGATACCAAGCACAGGCCAACATCACGTCTAAAATAAACAACTAAAAAAACCACATCAAAACCCCACCTTGAGCAATCAAGATTGAGATGTGTAGCATGTTATTAAAACAACCCAGTTAAAACTCGTACAGTCTAATTCTAAAAAAATTTATCCATGATTTTAAAAGCATGATTGACAAGTCACTTTCTTGTGTCACCACTTGCCTTTATAGCTTTATGGGCACAGCATCACTTATTTTTACTGTCTGTATTTGTTCAAAAAAGAGAGCAAGATAACACAAACAAAATAAAAAACAGCTAGGGAGAATCTGACCCACCATTAACCATCTGTGGTCAAAGCATCCAGTGAAATCTACCTTATCAATATCTTCCTCTTCTTCTTCCTCTTCTTCCTCTTCAGAGAAGTCAAGGAGTTTCTTGGCAAGCAGGGGATGCCACTGAAGACACTTCCTTTTTGGTCGCTTCCCAGTTCCTTCTCCTTCTGTCGAGTGATCCTTATTCCTACTACTGCCTTTCATTACTGTGACCTGTCATGCAAAAATATTGATAAGTTCAGAACAAACTCTCAGACATAAATGACCATCCAACCAGTGAAAAATATATGAAGCACTAATGCAAGACTCCTGGAAGTTTTTTGCAAGATACTAGACAGAGATTTATTCCAATGATCAACAAAAGGATGGATGTACCTTTTCCAATCTCAACATTTCCACTTAATGCCTACATTAACTACCAACATACAACTTCAGAGCATAAAGTAAGGATGCTAACCAGTCCAGCTCTCAAATGTGCTCCTGTCTGAAGCACAGCAGAGAAGCCCTCACACTTCACTAGTCAAGTGAGAGGGAGACTCCACAGCTCTCCTGTACCTGTAACCACTGTAGCTTTTCATATTTTGCCACTGAAAATGTCAGGACATCCCTCTTTCTAGCAGTAGAACATATCACCAGCCACTCATCCATTAATCACGCATTTATATATAGCAATGTTGATACAAAATCCCATGATACTATGAGCTAGGATTTCTCCAGTGTCATTAAAGGGTGCAATAGGGAAGGAAATCTGAGTCCTTGAGAGAAATGAATTTTAAAACAAAAATCTGAAGCAAATAGCCAGAAGTAGTTATGCTGACACTTCCAAAGTACTTCACAGAAAACAAAAACCACGTGCTGATCCAAGTGCACACAGAAGATAAATCATTTTTATTTACTCATCTATCTTGTCTGCATGTGTCCTTTTCTAAAATATACCTCAGAACTACTTCTCAGTAAAAATACAAACTTAACACAACCCAACTACAAATTTAAGGGTTGACTTCAGAGATCTGCTCTGCTACCCAAATAAGGGGTAAATAAATATATAAATATATAAATATATATATAAATAAATAAACCCAGCACATCACATCCAAGTACTGAAGCCCACAGCAAGCCAGCACTGCTGGCATACAGTCTGGTCCCCCACAGCCTTCTGTTTGTACTGTGTACTATCAATGGTAATCCTGATAGGAGCATGGCTGGCTTTCCAAGAGAACAACACAAACATCTAAACAAACTGAGCCTGAAGAGCAGTTAGCCAGCCAGCTACATCTTTACAAAGTCAACAAAAATTGATGAAGTTCTCACAGGGGCTTCTCACCAGCAGAATAAAGAAGCTGGGCTAAGTCCTGGTCCCACTGGCAAAGCCAGAAGAAGCTCTGCTGCTTCTGATTCTCAGAAGGGCATGGAAAGAGGTCAAACTGCAAGACCACACTGTATTTTAGGATGCTGCTTTCTGGAAGATGCCTGGAACAACAGTGATGTTTCAGCCTAAAGCACCTGCACTTACACTTGCCTGCCCAAGCCACGGTGCCACAGCTGGGGCAAATGTCTCATGAGAACCATCTCACACAGTGAATACAGCCCACACAGCTCCAGCCATGCTCCTACATATCCCACCCATTTAGTGATCACTGTTTCTGGTTTTGGTTGACCTCTTCCAGGTGTGTTTCTTGTTGGCTCACTCACTGGCATTTTGGCAATATGCCCTTGTTTGAACCAGAAACCTGAGTAAGCAGCTGCATCCTCTGCTGACTCCAACAGTGCAGAAAGCTGAAGGACCTTCAGACACTGCTTGCTGGAAGAAACAACTGAAGCCCGAAGGAAATAGGTCCAGATATTTTAACCTACCATTTTAAAATGGCATTTTCCTGCATGTATATTAGGTTTTGCTAGCTCCTCTCCAATTGTCAGCAGATTGCGGCCCCCTCCCAGTTAAGGAGGCCCTGTAACTTCGTAGCAGCTTCCCATTAAGTTACACATGTTGTGTAACTTAATGTCACTTTTCAAGTGACATTACACATAATGTCACTTCAACCTGGAGGACATTTAAACTTTGATTTCACAGCACCCACTCCCCTGTCCATTTTCTGTAACCCACTCCTGTTGGTTACAGCAAGTATTACACAGCACTTAATCATGCCCATTTCACCTAAATCATCTTCCGAGATTTGCAAAGCAGAGACAAATACACAAACAACTTTGGCTTTAAAAATACATTAAAGTGTGGAAAATCAAGCTGCAATCCAGTATCATAAAATGCATGTTTGAAATTGGTTTTATCCCATGTAACCTCTGCCACTGCACCGTGCTCCCCATCTGTCTCTCTTCCTAAAGCGCTGGACCACCATTTGCTTTTGTTTGGGTATTTTCAGACATAAATCAACAAAGCTGAGGTAATATTCAAGCAGGAACTTCAGCTCCTGTGGGTAGCAGAGATTCGTTCAGAGATTCAGAGTTTGCTAACAGATACAGATCTACCTATTACTCTAGTCAATAAAGTATGTGGCCTATTTCTGAGCAGGATAATATGCTACAAGTACGATGGGGAGTCAGATACTCCAGCCCTTACCCCTCACTTATGTAGGTGAGCTAATCATATGGCTTCTGCCTATAATCAGTCCTAAGTAAATGAGTATTACTGGCAACCTTCTACCTTGTTAGTGAGAAACTAAATTAATGTTTGAGTGCTCCAAGATCCTCCTCAGCTCAGCTGAAATCTCAGGACTATTTCAACAACAGCATTGCCTTTAACTGGCACCTCTCTGCCTGCTGCCCTTAGAAAGATGAGCACAAGTCTTAAGTGATCCCACAGTGTATCTTTTACACATCTTCTCCATCACTCCTGAGGCCCTGCCAATGCTCTATGCTGAGTTCAGCAAGGCAGCATAGACCCTAAGCACCAGTCACCTTGCAAATACTGAAGGGTCTCTCAGTATGTTACGCCTCTTCACTACAGCCCAGCCTACAAATAATTTTCGTTTTTCAAGTGCAGGTATTGAACACTCAGTTACCCCTAAAATAAATTAACCAAAGCTCACCACACATTAGTACTAAAATAGAAATGTATGCTCAGCTTCAGGAATTCAAGGGATGTTCATTAAGTTGTTTTCTTAAATTGTGAACTGTTTTACCCTACTACTTGTCAGTCTGAAGCAGCAGTTTCACTAAAAAAAGGGGCTTTTAAGGAAGATGGGTTGTTACCATAACAGCCAAACATGTATTTAGGAGAGCCAAGACACGGAGTTAAGTCAGATCTTGGATGTTATACAAGCATCATATATTCCAGAAACATACGAAGTCTCTTTGCTTCCGCTTTGGAGTGAATCTCTGCAATGGCCAACAACAAAACCCCTACTGATCTGACCCAACTGACGGAAGGACTGAGGTCAGTCTGACTTTAAAGTTTACTTTAACTGCATGGCCTGAAGTCCCTCACCCCTTAAGTATGTCAGGCTCTATACTCTATCCTCTATGCCCTCTCCTCTTTCCTATAAAATAGGGGGTCATTCATAACATGAACACAAAATTATTTCAGCCCCTATTTTTTAATACATCTGTGTTTCCAAATCCTTTTTCCGCATTTTGGCTATTCAGATTTTCATAAGTTTTGATCTATATTTCAGAAACTTTGTTTGGTGTTCACTTTTTGCTGATGCCTTTCTCAATCAAATATAGGATTGGCATAATGGAAAATGTTCTAATTCTCTATTACATCACATGGGACTTTTCCTCTTAAAAATGGATGCCAACATAGTGCGTTGTACTTGCTTTCCTTTGGATTGCTTCATCTTCCATATTACTACCCTCCCACTTTATGGGCATTTCTGTCATAACTGTTGATATTCAGATACTCATAAAGTTATGAGAGAAGACCAAAAAAAATCCAGGCAAATGCAAAATACGGCTAACATGGATATTTCCCTTCCTTCTGACAAAATGCGGTGTAACTACTTAGACAAGACACTCTGTGGTCAAGTGAATACATGTATGATTAAATCACAGTGAAAGTTTTACTGGCATTATGTACTTATTGAATGGCAAAACATCAACGGAATCCATTTACCTGACTCTTAAGATTCTATTTATTTATCTGGGGTTTTTTTTTGCCTTGACACATTGTCAATAGCATGTTAGTTGCTCGTTTTGCATGAGAGACTGGAAACTGGCAGACAGAAGCAAGCAAAAATAGCAGCTCCTTCTCTTATTTTCAGGGATCCCCAAGTGCTGGCAAGCATCCCTACCAGCAAGGATTTGAAGAAAGAGCTGGACTTGGACCCTACAAGAACTGAAGCATGCTTGGCAATTAAAAAGCTCCAGAGAAAGTCACAGAACCAGTCATGGGCAATCTTTGCAGGACTTGGGCTTAAAAGTAGAGAAGATACACAGCATCCGAAGTGAAAAGGTTGCAATAACTGGAATTTATGAACCAAATCACAAATAAAAAAAAAAAAAAAAAGATACTTTCTTCTACAGCATCAGTAATATCATGTATCTTTTAAGGCAGATGTAACGGCCTTTAGAAGTTAGCAAGAGTAAAAATCATTAAAACCATCTAACAAGATTTTAAAACTTACTTCTCAGCTTAAGGATGACAAAAAAGGTGACAGCCACTAGAGAGAAAGTAGGAATATTTCAACAAGACAAGACAAAAAGCATGGACAGTTTTGCTTAAAATAAGCCACATATGCTTTATAACATCACCAGAGGATACCCGTCAAGGCTGACATTCATGATGCACTGACAGCAAGAGACACCTCCAGGGTGACATTCTACACCTACTTTTGTGCAGATACAGACCAAACATTACAGAAATATTACATGAGTAAAAAAAAAGATAAAGGTGTTTTGGTGGGTTTTTTTGTTTGTTTGATTTTTTTTTTTTTTTTTAATTCTGGCTGTCTTATTTCCTTTCTGGTCCTGGAAACATTAATCAAAGAATCACAGTTTTTTTAGATGTCTTATAAATATGTATACCTAACAGAGCTTTGGAAGAAAAAAAAAATTAAGATTTCTTAAGAAAAGAGCTGAATGGTGGAAGAGGGGGAGCAGGGGAGAAGACTGATTGCTTAGCTTTTTACTGCATATGTTTCTATTTCAATTACACACTGTATGCAAGTCTTCATTTATTAACTGTTCATTAACAACAAGTGTTTGATTACATTTGGTAGCATTAAGTTTTGTTTTCCTCCCAGCTTACTCTGTTATTT